CCGGACGCCCCCGGCTGCAGCGTGGCTGCGTGCGCTCCGGGGTGAAGTCTCTTGGCCGGTCTGTCAGGTCCGTCCGTCCCGCCAGCAGCTTGCAAGGCAGTGGGAAATGCCACGTTCAGCAGAATGTCGCCAACAGTCTGGTTCTGAAATATTCTCTTCCATTGCTGTTCCTTTTGATAGTTCAGTGAATTTTGATGGAATATTTCCGAAATTTCAGGAACTGGAGAAGTTTGTCTTTCCTCCTTTGCTTCAAAGCCATCAGCGCTCTCGTTTTCTCCTCCAAGTCCTGATCGGTGGCGAGGATTATCTTGGCTCTTTCCTCCGCCTTCTTGTCTCCGGAGTTTTTGAAGAGTTTCTGAAGAGATTCTTCATTGATGCTTTCGAAGATATTGGCCACAGCTTTCTTGCGCAGGGCTGTGTCGAAGCGGTAGCCGTGGACCGAGGGGCTCACTCTCAAGGATGTGGACATGGCTGAAGTTTTAGTGCCTCTCTTTGCTTTCATCTACGTCGGATGCTCTGGGGTTTGCCTTCGGGGCTGATCAGAGGGATCGGTGCAGTACGCGCTCCGAGACTGCTATTTAAAGGCAGTCTGGAGAGAAAGCCTGAGGGCTCAAGTTACAGCGGTGAGATCATGCTGATGTCAACGCTGAGTAGTCATAGGCCAGTTTAACAGTTAAGTTGCTGACATTCTGCATTATGCGACTGAGATGAAAAGTTTATTGTATTTCTGTGGTGCAAAGGATGATTTTCTTTGCTTCAGTGCAGAATGGGCTTTGCACAACTGCAGACATCGTTGTGCAACTTTGAGCTGGCGTGGTTCAAACTGGGCCCACAGCCTTCACCGTGCTCTGAAAAGCACTGCGTTCAGAAAAGCTGGGCCAACTAAACCAGACTCTTGCATATAATAAAAAGTTGAAAGTCCAGGCGAGAACCTTAGCAGGCTACTGCAACGCTCGCCGGAGGTGTTTGCCGGGAGCCAGCGCAGACAGAGGTGTACTTGGCTCTATCTCGGTCAAACAGAAGCACAACCAAGCTGCCAGAGCCGCTCGGGTCTGGGTGCGGGGTGCCTTTGCTGCTTCCCGGATGACACCGGTC